TTGTTTCTCACGCTGATTAACTGCCGCAGGGCTATAGAACATTTTATGCTAGATTTCGCAACTGCAACCTGTTCCCACGAAAAATGGATTGCAAAACGCAAAATGATCGGGCTTTTTAACACTTATTTATCTACATGGACATCTCACCTATTTTTTTTAACACTTTCCACAACTTTACACCATGTATTTATCCATTTATTCCTAAAAGTGCACATCATCAGCCACCACATGCGACAGCATCTCCAGCATCACCGCATACTGACTGACCTAAACCATGGGTTCCGTTCTGGTTTCTCCTGTGAGTCACAGCTGTTGACAACAACCAATGACATACTCACAGATTTCGACAATGTAGCTCAAGTGGACATTGCTGTTCTCGACTTTAGCAAAGCATTTGACACAGTACCCCATCGCCAATTACTGGCCAAAGTCAATCGGTACGGTGTCAGAGGCCCCAGCCACCAGTGGCTATCAAACTTTCTAATGGACTGGACTATGAGAGTAGTACTTAATGCAGAAGTGTCAGAGGAAGTACATGTGAAATCAGGAGTGCCCCAAGGCACGGTACTGGGCCCATTGCTTTTCCTCTGTCAGATAAACGACCTACCACTGAGCGTAAACTCCCAAGTCCGTTTATTTGCCGATGATTGTCTTCTCTATCGCACAATCAGAAACATCACAGACCATATAAAATTGCAGGACGACCTCACATCCCTAGAATGCTGAGCAAGAAACGGGGGGATGCAGTTCAATCCAAAGAAGTGTCATATCCTGAGCATTAGGAACAAGTCTCAGTATATGTACAGCCTCTGTGGCGAAATACTCAAGACTGTGAAGACCAATCCATACCTAGGTGTTCAACTGGTCAATGACCTCAAATGGTACAACCACTTCTCAAGCACTACGAAGAAAGCATCATCTACTCTGGGCTTCCTGCGGAGAAACTTACGCAGGTGTCCACAGCAAACCAAACGTATTGCATATCTCAGCCTAGTACGACCCATAATGGAGTATGGTGCAATAATATAGGACCCATACCAACGACAGGATATAGACAGACTAGAAAAGATACAACAGAAGAACTCCAGGCTGTGTTACAGACATGCTATCGTCCCTACATCTGGAAATCCTCCAAAACCGCCGTCGTGATATGCGACTAACCTATCTCTACAGAATCATCAGTGGGCTGGTACCAGCAATGGCCCCGTCAGATTTTCTACAACCAGTTCAAACCGGCAAAAGACGAGTGAAACCACCTAGCAGAAAAAACAAGGAGGAGTTCATCAGTGCTCCCATTAACTAACGTTCCATCCGTCTGAACTCAAAAGGATTCAACGTACCAGCGTACAAAACTGACCAGTACAAGAATTCTTTCTTTGTCCGCACAGTGATACAGTGGAACCACCTGGGTGACCACATAGTAACTGCGGACAGTGCTGAGCAATTTACATCTATGCTCAGCCAACATGAATTCTAAATAATTGGCCCTCTCCCGATTCCGTTGCCTCGATGCCAATTTTGGATACTGCAATGTATTACAACAGAAACAACAAAAACACTACATGCAAGTTCTGTTTGAAATGCTGTGTGTACACGAGTGACGTCACCCGAAATGTAGCTGCATCATAGCGGATATGTAGGCAAAACACATGGCAGCTACACTGTGGCAGCTATGATGCAGCTACATTTCGGGTGACGTCACGCGTGTACACACAGCATTTCAAACAGAATTTGCAAGTAGTGCTAGCACTTTTAGGAATAAATGGATAAATACATGGTGTTAAGTTGTGGAAAGTGTTCAAAAAGATAGGTCAGATGTCCATGTAGATAAATAAGTGTTAAAAAGCCCGATCATTTTGCGTTTTGCGATCCATTTTTCGTGGTAACAGGTTGCAGTTGCGAAATCTAGCATAAAATGTTCTATAGCCCTGCGGCAGTTAATGAACGCGGGCTATAGTACTAGAGCTAGTAAACACTCAGTTATGAACAGATACCATTGGTATTACCAGACGGAGGGGCTTAGTGTATTTTTACTGTGACGTTGCGAAATGACACGAGAAATTTGCACATTTTGTACTCTGTCTTACTTACTTTCCAATTTCGTCTATCGTTTACGAGTTTGTGTACACCAACGGGCGTCAATCGTACCAGCAATGTAGTGGCGTGCGTGCGGCAGCACTTTGAGTCTGACTCTGAATAGCATTTACGTGGAATAGGCAATTGAATTAAGAATAAGAGACTGAACTCTGGAGTACAAAAACATTTAAACTTTTTTTAGTTTTACAGTAAATACGTACTACTACTAGTACTACTAGTACTACTATACAACTCACGAAGTTAAATGGGTGTATGAAACTTATTTACTTTGCAATTGACGAACAAAATCTATACCGCGGGCTTCAGAACACACACTCGGAAACGGCCTGAGAAAATTAACCCCAGCGACGCTTACTAAAATCGCGATAGCTCCTAAACCCATAAACCAATCATGACAATTTTTCGACCAGTATCCCTACTACTAAATGCGAGTTGCCATATTTACTATCATTTTATTATTGACACAGCCCAAGCGCCCATGACTACGCCTACGGCTAGGGAAAAGTTACAGCAGCGACACCAGCGACGCAGCGTCGGTAGACCATGTCCAGAGCTGACAGACTAGGGCAGCTTTGAGAATAGACCTACGACTACGACTCACGAGTACGAGTACGAGTTCGAACCGTAACTAACCATTATTTGTTTAACTTAACCATATTACATAACACATATATTTATAAATCCGCGTAGACTGTAAACAACATGTTGCCTACCACATATACGAAAGCTGCCCACACTAACCAACGATAAGGCTATTCTCTTCCTGCTTCCTAGTATAGTGACTGATGCGAAATCGCAAATGCGACAGAAATGGCGCGAGAAATACACCGAAATGCACCGCGATTGCAACACAAGTTTTTATTTCAGAAGAGATACTAAAGAGGGCGTTAGCGGCGCTGCTGCTGATTCAAGATGTCTGCGCTCTTGACGAGTCATTTATCGAAATGTACATCGAGCAACTTTAGTTGCCAAAAACTTTTGGTGCAAAATGTCAAGTTTAAAGTAAGACAGTATTTTATAATACGGCTTAATATGTAGAATCATTGTTTCTAATATTTTTCCAAGTAATTGGGGGGGCATATAACATAATAAATTGTGTCATGT